AAAGGATTATACTTAAAGCCCTATCGAAAGGGGTTGGGCCTTTACATGAAACCATATCGGCCAAAAAACTCGTAAGTTCACTACCTCGAAGACCTCTCAGTAATTTAGACATACAATCTTTTGCCAAAAGATTCAAGATTCCCTACTTTCGAGGTGTGTATATGAGAGATAATTTACCAAACTGCGGGCCACTAAAAAACGAATCAGCCATTGTAAATTTGGATAGTAGTAGCGGGCCAGGAACACATTGGGTCGCTTACAAGAAAAGAGATGCGTCCTCAATATATTTCGATAGTTATGGTGATTTACCCCCACCTTCAGATTTAATTAGTTATCTGTATAAAGGGCGTTGGCCGGTATCTGAAGTTCACTATAATTATAAACGCTACCAGAAGTTTGATACTGTCCTATGTGGACATTTGTGTTTGCAATTTCTTCTCTCTGAAGGATGAATACCCATGATGAAGAACAACCTAAGGATTTTTCTAAAAATGAATCTATCGACGTAAATGATGGTCCGACGGTATTTTCGAAACGTGGGTCAATTGACGTAACCGACGATCCAACACCAAAACACGTAATTTGTTGTTTTTGGAAAATTCGAGAACTGAAAATTTCCACTAAAAAGCGAGTTTATAATTTATGTAATCGAAAATAGATTTCGAAGTCAGTGTGACATACTTCTTAGCCATGTCAAGAACATTTAATTTGTCGTCCATAGCGTCAAGCATTCTCAGCAATGATTTTTTTCCGCCCATCGAATTGGATGTTAATAAACAGTATGGTCTTGGATTAATAGCATTTTATGCCTACCATTCTATCAAAAATATCACCTCAAAAAATAATATCATCTGTTTAGAGGTGGTAGACCCAGAAAAGTTTTGGGCAGATGTGGTGCAGCGAGAGAAGAGTTGGGCCGAGGAAGGCAGTGCACCGAAAAAAATTAATGTACGTGTGGCACCCGGCGCTTATGAGATTGATGAAATTAATAAGTTCGTCCAAAAAGCTATATATGACTATCTATATCCGGATACCAAAACTATTATAAATCAGGGAGAACTTGATGCTATGTTTAAATTGTCGGCGAACAACAACACTCTAAAATGTGAAATTTCATCTAAATTCATAATCAACTTTGATTGTGACAACAGTATAGCTAGCCTCTTAGGATTCAGTAATTCGAAGTGCCCGCCAAGGCCTCAAGCTTATGTTTCTTCAATGCCGATTAATATTATGAACCTCCACCTTGTTCAATTGGATTGTAATATTATTTCTGGTTCCTATATAAATGGCAAAGAAGCCCACACCCTTTTTTCATTTGACATAGACGTTGAGCCAGGATACAAACTGACGAAGGAACCTCATAACATTATTTATCTACCAGTCATACCTGCCGGTCGGCAATACCTAGACAACATTACTATCCGAGTTGTAGATGATAACGGTGAGTTGATTGACTTTGGGGAGGAAACTATCAATATCACACTCGAGTTAAAGGAGATAAACTAATATGGGATTCTGCTTCAAACCACGACATTCAACTAGCACCCATTTAAATAATCATATAAATAGAATCGAAGGGAAAAACATGAACATTCGTCGAGTAACTGTAAAGCGAAGAAGACTTCTGTTGTCTAATAAAGATTATAAATTTCTTCAATCTATTGGATTCCATATAATATATTAAATAATGGCTGTTTATGTAAGAAATGAGATGTTGGACGTATTTGAAAAGCCGATCGTCGATAACTCAATCAAAAGATGCGATGGATATATTCACTTGCCTACGGGATCGCCAAATTACAAACATTCTGATACAATCACCTTTACGATCAATAATATGGACCTGAATCTCTTAATTTGCGATAGTTACATCAATATAGTTGGAACATTTAAGCCAAAAGAGGCTAATAAAAAGTGCTATTTGGTCAACAATGCTCTTCCTGGCCTATTTGAAGAAATTAGATATGAAATGGGTGGACAAAAGATTGCTGAATGTCGAAAACCTATTATAACGACAGCAATAAAAAATATGGTGTCATATGGTGAAAAACATGCGAAATTATTAGAAACATCCGGTTGGGGCCTCAGCGAAGAGAATCAAGTTTTGGTTGATTCAACGAGTAATACATTTACAGGTAGAATCTTATTAAAACATCTATTTGGTTTTGCTGAATCTTACAAAAAAGGGATAATAGGTGTTAAGCATGAGATGACTGTAATAATTGCTCGAGCATTCGAAAATTGCTATATAGGAGAAGTCGATGCAGACATAACTATCACTAAAATGGATTGGATAGTCAAACACATTACTCCCGAAAATGATGCAGATGTTCTCATGTATAAAAAAATTAATGACAAACATTTGCAATCCATTAAAATACCGCACCATAAATGGGATCTTTATGAATTACCTACTCTAAGACAAACTTCTAACGACATATGGGCGATTAAAACCACTACATCCATGGAACGACCTAGATATGTAATTATTGGATTTCAAAATACTTCTTTTACTGAAAACAGGAAAGAAGATGTGACGGCGTTTACGGCTGCTGATATAAGCAATATCAGATTATATCTAAATTCTGAAGTTTACCCATTAGAGCGTTGGAATTTGGATGTTGGGAAAAAGTTGGATACTCCCGCTTATTATGCTTATGAAGATTTTCAGCGAAGTTACTATAAAAAGGAAAATCCTGAGCCGATGTTAGGCCTGAATGGCTTTAGAGCGAACCCTCTATTCGTAATTGATTGCAGTATGTATCCAAAACCAATCAAATCTTCAACTGTGGATGTCAAGGTTGAATTCGAAACACGTAAAATGCAGTTTCCCGCCAACACTAAAGCGTATGCGCTTATTATTCATGAAGCTCTTATAAGTTATAATGCACTAGATGGCACTGTACACACTGAATATATGCCATTGTAGTTCATATAATCTAATTTACTGTATCCAAACTTATACCTGTGTTCACTTTTAACAAAAATAAAAAGATGTAACCTTTTTTAAATAAAAAACAATTAAACTATGTATATTGTTTTATTTATATTTTAATCACAGATAGATAGATATATTATATAAGTAATCCCTAATCCATTTCGTCATCTGTCTCATCATCAGCCTCATCGTCTGCATCTTCATCTAAACCATGTTTACTCCTTATTTGCGGGGTGATGTATGGTAAGGCCTCGTTCAAGAAGCGTTTCAAACTTAGGGTAACCATCTTCTCACAGAATGTATCTAAGTCCAGCTCACATGCATTATATTCGCAGCAAAGACTGCTGCCTTTACAGTATTTCTCATAACAATCGTTTTGATAGGCCACAGCTTCTGGAAACAGCCATACCTCAGCGTCGTAATTGATGGAGTGTAACGCATCCATCGCCAGTGCGTCCAGTTCCTTTCCAAGCCTGCTTATTGCTGATTCTAAGTCGATGGCTTTAGGCCAGTGCTCTTCGGAATACATCATCCACATGTCGAAATAATCTGAAACAATATTTGGCCGTTATTAAATGAACAAATATTGGTCAAGTTATACTTACGATAAAATTGTGGAAATTCTTAATGAAATATTGCGTATATTAGATATCTATATGTGTTTAAAAGTAAAAAAATATTTACAGTGACTCTACCATGGATTTAACTAATTGATTGCTGGCCAACTAGATCGATTCTTATATGAGACCTAGTAGTTGAGTTGTAACACGGCTTTTCCCCTAAATAGGCCATGGCATATTGGCCAGTAGAATCATTTATCATAGCAATGACTTCGGGTGGCATTATTTCAAAAATGCGTCTCGGTAACCAACACTGGAAAAGCTCCTGTGAGTGCCGATCAATTAAATGAATAAGTAAACATTTACCATATCTGGTATCTTTGACCAATATCGTTTTAATAATATAAAGTTGACCTATAACCAATGACTTTAGTTCTCTTTGGTCCAATATTGTGGGCCAGTCTCCAAGTAATTTATTAACCGCATCAATTTGCGTTTGAGCCATAGTAGAATACAAATAAATATTTTTTTTACCTGTATAATACACAATACTACACAATACTACACTCAGTTATTATTTGAAACTTCTAAAGACTCTTAAAGCTTACGATTTTAAACTGATTCCATTTGGATATGAGGTCGCTATATATCCTCCCTAAAAATCCCCACCTTCACTATGTTTTCCTTCTCAATATTCATAGTATGTAATATAGAATACAATAGTAATCACTAGGAGGTAAATAGTAATGACTATTTAAGCGGTACTTACAAGGTGTATAGAGTAATGAGATGTACTTACTATGCTCATTACACTACTCAATTACGTTCATTAAAGTATATAATTTACAGAATAATTGGGAGGCACTTGCTAATTGCGCGAAGGGTGGGATACTACCCCTTCCAACAATATTTACATCGCGCGTGTCTGCCGAAGACCGGTGATTCACTTTAGCTATGGCGGTTGAGAGTCAAGGGTGTGCATGGCGCCGACTTATTTCCCCTATGCTACAACAGTAAACAAGAGAAGTACTTAGACTTATTACACTACGTGATATACACAGTAAATACTGTCTGAGAGGTATGCATATGGTGTAATGAGAGGTACTTACTATGCTCATTACACTATGCAATTACACTCAGTACAGAATAATTGGTTGGTCCTTACATCACTATGTGTACTGAGAGGTACTTACTATACTCATTACACTATGCAATTACACTCATTACACTATGCAATAACATGGTGTACAGAGTAATTCAGAGGTACTTGCTAATTGCGCGAAGGGGGGGGGGTACTTGCTAATTGCGCGAAGGGTGGGGGGTACTTGCTAATTGCTCGAAGGGTGGGGGGTACTTGCTCGAAGGGTGGGGGGTACTTGCTCGAAGGGTGGGGGGTGGGTACTTAGGGTAATTACTAATTACACCAATTGCCTCTGACCTTGCCTCTGACCTTGGTCCAGAACTGGCTAATCCCATCTACTATAACCTAAAGAACTTACCCGAATGGAGTTTCTTCGCCCATCGGAATTGACTTTCCTGGTAAAAGACCCCAATTAGATGTGGTTTTGGGACACATAGCTGTACATGGACGACCTATGATTGAAGTACCATATCGTACAGTTTGGGCGTAATAACAAGCACTTTGAAAATGGCTACATCTTGCCCTTCCTAAAACAAACCATCAACACTTTTACATTTTGGTTATTTTAATTTGTTTTTTAGTCAATTAGATCACATAATCATAAAATGCACTTTTATAATTTAAGTGAAGCATTTATAATGATTACAATATGATCAATAAGTAAGTTTATTATAACCTAATTAACTTATCTAGAGTTGAAAAATTCTATATACTAATTTTGAGTTTAATTATTAGTGAATTACACTACTCAAAAGACTTGGTTCGTTTGATTTTTCTCACTAGGTTGGCGTTGTTGAAGAGCACGAGAACGTTTCTATGTTGAAGCACTCGTTGCACGTGGCTACTGGTAAATTTTGCTACTGTCTTTTCAACAGTCTCCACCTTAAGGATCCCGCTGGAAATCAGTGTTACGTTAGTACCAGGGCGAATTGACGATGTTCCTTAACACTTTATTCTGGAAACTTGAATAACTTTGATATCACTTTTACTGGCACAGTTCCTATGCTGAGTACCATACTACCATACGGGTTTCAATATCTGTCTATAAAGGAACAGTTTGTTATGTCTGGACAATTTGGGGTGTTTTCCTTGCAACCAATAAACTCTTTTGCCTTTCATACCTAGCACTTTACGTTTTTTTTTATATATGAGGTTTCAAACGAAATCTAACATCACAATGTATGTTACTGAATTTGCATCAGGAAAACAAATGTCATTTATTCTAATGGGAATATAGTCACTTTTTTATTTTTATGGACATATTTGCCTTTAATCAATTTAATTCACCATATTTTCGTTCAGGTGTTTAATATGATCTATAATATTTGCAATTTTTTGTTAGCTTCCCTCTGATTTTTTTCTAACATCCATGATTATAGTATCATCAGCAAATGTGATAATATGTATGTGTATGTATGTGTATGTATGTGATTATTTATATCTCTGGTTTACACTAAGTAGAGCACTAGACCTAGTACTCCTGCCTTGATTTTTCTTAATATGCTTCTTCCTGGTTTTTTTTTTGAAATACCTTTCAGCTCTATAGTATTTTAATACAAAAAGACGGTGGAGCAAACTGTTCTCTTTGATGGACTTCTCGATGATGTATGTGATTCTGTGACCCTGTTCGATGGTCGAGTGTTTCTCTAAAACCAAACTAATGGGCCGTTTTATGCTATTGTAGGTTTCAATCTCTTAAGAAGCAATTTTTCATAGACGAGATAACACGCCACAAAAAAATTGATCTGTACGATGTACCTTGGACGTTTACCTGGCTTAGGTATCATTATAATCTCTGAAACCTTCCAAATCTTTAATACGTACCTTATGCACGCATTGATGAGATTTGTCATTTTGGTTATAGCTTTCCGTGAAAGCATTTTCAAAATTGACTTGATAATGAGGTTAAATCCATGGGGTTTTCTGATTTATATTTGTTTGGATTTCCATATAGTTTTACCGACTGTGTCTTCTTATTCTGTTTGCTTTTTACAACTTGTTTCGGGCCCAACTTTCATCTTTGTTTAGAATTGGTAGGTTATGTATACTAGACTTTTTTAATTGTTTGGTAGATTTCCAAGGTGAGTAATTCTTACTCTTATCGGTAGTTACTCAGGGCTTGGGCGGCTACTGAGAGCGTCGGCAGGTGGCGGATGTCCGAACGGCCTGCAGCGATCTTTCATCCTGCAGGTTATCATCGAATACCCAATAAGGTAACGCTGAGACTTCCTCCCAATCCAAAGGTGTCACGTGATCCTTGCCAAAAGAATGCATAGTAGCGGAAGAAGGTCACAGAGCCTCTGGGATACCAAGCGACCTCCTGGTAGTAATTAGCCTTGCTACGACATGCGTGGCTCTACCGTGGTTGACCACCTTTCCCTTAGCTACTCGTGAGATCTGTATGATAGATAACAAGGATACCAACAACGATGGGGACAATCCATTCGACCGCCAGGAATCTGGCGTAGATCCGCTTAAAGTTACTTCTATCCCATCAAACAACATCATTTCGGAGGAGTTGGAGGAGGTGTTACTTGCATCATCCAAATCCAACGGAAATGAAACTCAGGTAGAGAAGAAGGAGGCATCAACCTCATCCAATAAACCTGTGAGGCATGCCAAAAGGTTCGCTGGAATAATCAGAAAGCACCTCAAAATGATCATTCAGCGTAGTATTGACTTCCAAACCGCCCTGAAGCAGACCCTTAAAGAGTTGGAGGAGAAAGGGAGGGTTAAATCACCACCCTCGAGTTCAACTAACCAACCTAGACAATAGTTGAGGGAAAATACCCCACCAAAGGAAGTCAAACCAAAACGCTTATTCAAGGCCGCGGCAAAGAGTGTTTGGGTGGGGATTATTCATCCAGAACACTCTGACGTTCAGCTATCGAATGAACAGCTCCCAATCATAAGAGCCGTAGAAAGGCAACCTAGAGACGGACACCAAATTTTCCAGAGATGCACCTCAGACCGGAGCTTCTCCTTCTGGACTATGGCGACGCTACAACGGCTCGGTGCAAGGAGCCATGGCTAAACTTCGCCAATGGAATGACGTAGACTAAGGCTGGCTGACAGGCAAGGAAATACATCTGCATTGTGTACATCCCTCACTTCTGCTTTGGACATCGACCAGAGCAGACGTGTGTGTACACATTAAATTTCGTGATAAACTCAGTTAGCGATAAGTTGAGCCCTAGTGCTCCGGTGATAGTTTTCGAGACGACGCGCAGACGCGAGAATATTACAACGGCTATACGTCAAAACACAGGTGAGGGCCCCAAACCTGCGTGGAACCGTGAAGTTATTGTGATACCGCCGCGCAGCCCGAGACTTAATATCGGACAAAACTAGTGCGCAGTGAGCAAAACCGAGTACCTCGAGAGATATCGAACAGTTAGCTATACAGTGTAAGAGCCCTAGTGCTCCGGTGCAAAAATCAAAACCGACGCGCAGACGCGAAAAAATCGTGTGTGTACCCGTCAACGCAGGTGAGGGCCCCAAACCTGCGCGAACGTGTGCGAAAACGCGATTTCGCCGCGCAGGTAGTGAAACACAACCGGAGTTAAGTCTACATACTGTGGAAGAAAAAACTGTGAGTATTGCTACTATTTGAACGTTAAAGTCAAAACAAAATAGCCACCAGACAATAACAGAATTACCACCAATAAATCGAACGAACAAACAGGCGAAGTGCTCCGCAAAAACCCGGCAACCTTACTCGGGGTTCCAAGTCGGGCGAGCGGGGCTCCGACCCCAGTTATAAGGCTGACTCCTGCATAGCAGGAATCAGCCTTTTTTTCTACAAAAATAACTTTCCACATACTTTCTAAAATCTGACCACACACATATATAAATGGCAGAAGGAAAACCAAGCACAGAAATGGAGAATCTAGACAACTCCATTAAACTAGCTGAGGATGAGATAAAGAAAACTGGGGTGATCTCCAGGAAGAGCTCAGTGAATAGATCCCCACCAGTCGCTCGCAGGCAATCGATCGCATCGGAATCACCCGAAAAATACGAGGGCTTAGAAGCACCGTCCAAAAGAAAGAGAGCGACCCAAGCCAATATAGAAAGCTCAAAGAAAAGAGACCAAAAAGAGGTCGCTGCAGACCAGACCAGTAAAAGTCCAGAAGAGGGGGAGGAAGAAGAGAAAGAAGAAAAAAAAAGGAGACTGGAAGAGGACAAACGCCTGACAAAGATAATCGAAAATTTGGCAAAAGCTGAAGAGGAAAAGAAACTAAAGGAAGAAAAACGCCGGAGAGAAGAGGCACAAAATAAGGCCGCACAGGAAGAAAAACGCAGACAAGAAGAGGAAGAAAAAAGGAAAAAAGAGAACGAAAATTCGAGTGGCGCGACAAGTTCGGTTCCGAGTGCGGGAGTGTTTACACCTCAGGTGAGTGACGAGCACGGCGGTCGAAACAGCGACCCCAAACAGACAAAATCACAAGCACAAAACCTTATACAGACATCTACAGACACTATAAAAGACCTGAAAAAACAAGTTAGAGAAGCGGTAACACGGACAACGCCCGAAGGACGGGGTAAAATAGCCTTTGCGACAAAAGAACAAAAAACGGTCCTTTCGGCCATGGACGAAATTACTAATATCTACACAGACATACTGACTCTCCTTCTAGTACAAGAGACGGAGATAAATAAATTACAAAAAGAAAACTTCGACTTAAAACAGAACGACAGAAACAAAGGAGACAATAGCACCACAAACATAGAAGACAAATTAAAACAAGTACAAACAAAAATATTACAAGCTATAAAGGACAATCCACAACCAGGTACCAAGACATTGACACAACAGATTCACACCGCAACAATTAACACCAGCGCTACTCCCCATACCCCGACAACAATAAACGATACAGACTTCCCAGCACTCGGACAAAAGACATACGCTCAGCTGGCAAAAAGACCGACAAACACAGACAACAAGGACAAAAAACCCTGGACCACCCCTGAACCATATAAGAAATTCGACACAGTCATAAAATTAAAGGAAGGTCAACAGGGAGACACTCTGACGGAGCTAAAAAAGATTATCAAAGCAAAAGACATAGAGGGGACACAAATAAGACACACACGAACAGCAATAGTACTGACCTCGCAATCAAAAGACAAACAAGACGAGATTCTAAGACGCACCCAAACCTCCACAAAACTTGACAGTAAAGACGGGACCAGACACAATGAACCGACAATAATACTAACAGGAATACGAAAAGCACTGACGCACGACGAAATCACAGACGGACTAAAACTTGAAAACGACGACCTAGACAAACTTTTTGGGGACCGACTAAAACTATTAAACATCGTATCGACAAGACCGTGCAGGAACCCTTATAAAGAAAACGTATACTTACGAGGACCAACGGACATAATAAAACATCTACTCAAATCGGAAAAAATATACCTAGATTTTCAAACTATATATGTTAATGAAGCAACACAGCTAGCACTCTGCTTTAGATGCTGCAGATATGGGCACGTAGCCAAACATTGTAAAGAG